TAAAATTTATAAAAAGGGTATCATGCAGTAACATATAATGTCTTAAGACTTAAAACTTTTTTCACTTAACATTGTTGAGATTTTTAGTTCTATGAATACTTTTCTATATTGTAAATGTTATTAAACATTAAAAACAGACTATCATTGACTCTTTTAAAAGGAAATGATTGAAAACTATGTCCATTGGAATGAAGACATAGGAGAATGGCAGCTAGTAAGTATTACCTTCATCCTTTCATGAAATACTTACAGAGTACTTGCTGTGGACTAAATTGTACTGGCCATAATGGGGAGGAAGGTGGTCCGCAGGATGAATTAGAGGCGAATCCAGTAGGACGGAGAAGATGTGTTCCCAATTAGCTGTGTTATATTTTATAATAACTAGTAAACTATAACACACAGATCATGGTCTAGGTGGAAATGGTCAACATCAGGGGCTCCATGGGACTGAGTGACCTCTGGGGCATGTCTGCTCCCACTTCCAATCATGTTCTGCCAGTGTAACATCAGGTCATCTCACAGTAATTTGCCTAATTCATGGTGTTAATTACTAATTAAGACATTTCTGTCCCTCTCCTTTTCTTTTTTTGAGAAATGTGTTGCATATACAGGAAATAACATGAGGAAACAAACCCCAGTACCTGATAAAAAGGAGAAAGATGTAAGAGTACTTTTTTGTTCTTTTTAAAACTGCAGTTGTTTCTTTATAGGAATATGAGCCATTAAATTGTGTTGTCACCCTGGTCTGTTAATTGGCTCTGATGAAAAGTGGACTCATCTTTTGGAAATAAAGGCTCTGGGATGGCATGGTGATGAAGACAGCTCTGCTTACCCCCATGGCAGGCTCACTACTCTACACGAGCGGCACGGAGTCACCGTTAGGAGTCTTTTCACTACCTCTCTGCATCATGGGGCTGTAGTTAGAGACTAGAATGTGTCTGTCTTCCCTTTCAAAGTTAGTTCTAGTTCTAGGTTAACAAGAAGAGGGAGCAGTTTTAGGGAAAACAGCAACAGTTTTTCTTTATGTTAAAGGAAATTTATAGTTTGTGAGGGATTCTTATTTACCAACCTTTGGTGAATGCATTTTAGATATTGGGATTAGATATCTTGAGACATTTGTTTGGTTTTGTCTTGTGTGGCTTTTTTTCTAGGATTTTATTCAATATTTTAAGTCTTCCCCCAAATCTGATTTAACTTTCTCCTGTAAGAGTGCCTTGTGTGTGTTTCCTTTACTCAGCCCTTTGAAGTGGACCTTTCCCACGTGTATCTCGCTTATACTGAGGAGAGTCTGCGCCAGTCTTTGATGAAATTAGAGAGGCCACGGACTTCCAAGGGGAAAGCAAGGCCAAAGACAGGGAGAAGGTAAGGACTGCCCCTCAGTCCCATGTAATGAAAGTAGTGAGATATTCTAATTAGATACATTTAAAGGAAATAACAATTTATTTAGTTAACATAATAAATGTTTGGCTGACACATTAAAAGTCAAATTCCTTATGTAGTTAGAATTTGAGTAAATTAAATCTGGCTAAAGATTTAATTTTCAACTTCCTTAGCCCTCCTGAGTAGTAGAATTTATTTTTAATTCACTTTGTTCTTTCCAAGTATGTAATGGATCACCTACTATCTTGTTTGATTCCTTAATTCTTGCAGGAATTCTTCTAGTGAGATGCTAATTAATTTGCATGGTTAGACTCCCAAGGTATTATATTTAACTGGTTAGTTTTTCTATCATAAACATTGCCCCAAGAACCTTGATTTCCTCAGTTACCAGTTAATGAAAACTTCTCTGGACGTCTTTTCCTCTCCTTTGGGCGCTGGTTTTGACTGTTGGGTGGTCTCTACATGTCATCACGTAAGCCCAGGGAAATCAGGATGCAGGAGCCCCGTGTTGGAGCCTATTTTTTCTCTCGCTTTTCTGTATCAAGTACTGTTCAGCTTATTTAAACTGACTGTAAAACTTCGGGGCTCCTGAAATGGTAGAAAATAATAATCTGCTTTTTTCTCTACTTCAAGTGCATGGACTTGAGTTACATGTGAGTGAGGTTGTACAGTTTTAATATTTTTGTGTCATATAACCTCATAGACACTTAATACTGGAAGTGTTAACTTATAACTTAACACTTACAAATGTGGGATAGTTGAACTTGTGGTGGAGGAATCAGTTGCATATTTGAAGTGTATAGATTTCTGCATTCTTTAGCGTTTAAGTGAGGAGTTCAAAACTTTCATATGCCAACAGAAGCCACACGTATTAATGAATGAAGCAAACATTCTAAGAAAACAAGTCCCTTTAGATATATTTTTTACTTTTCCACTTTTAATAGAGATATTTTCCTCTTAACTCTACAGTTAGTAGAAAAAATTACAATGCAAGTGTGATGATAAATGGTGAGACATTTGGCCTCAGTGTAGGAGAAAAATGGGCAGTGATAGGGACTGGGGCAAACTGGAGAGCAGTTCTGTCTAACGCAAGTGGCTGCTGTTCTCTTCCTAGTTGGTTGTGGGAATAGAGGGCTCATTTCTGGATCTTTTCTAAGAAGCCAGAAATCTGGGTTATTTATGAGAGCTCTCACTTTTAGTTACCCTTTTTTTTTTTT